TTATTGTGTTTAGTGGCTCTAGCTTCTGAAACCACTCCGAACGAGTAAGCTGTAGCTTTGGATCAGAGATATGCAGATATCTCTTGATTTGGCAAAACCGCCTGAAGCCCATCACTTTAAAGATTGACTTCCGTGTCACATTTTCCTTCCGATCCCAAAAGCTCTTAGGTCCAACTCCACTACCCCTCTTTACTCCCATATAGATAAGGAGAGCTAAAAAGAGTCGTACCTCCTGGTCTACTACCTTTCTCCATTCACGGTCAAATGGTTTTCCATCCTTTATCCCTTCTCCTGCCCCCTTTTGTATAGCATACTGATTTGTTCCCTCCACAAGCAAACCAATCACCTGATCATCCCAAAACAGCTCAAAAATCCTCCGTGGATTGGCTACACTCTCTGTCCAAGGTAGCAATGGCTGACTGATATGATCCTGCTGAGGACCAAGTGGAATATAGGGTTGCTGAACTGCTTCAGGTTGAGATAACAGTTGTTGTGGTTCCTGCGGTACTCATGCTTGGACTTTTGGTACTCTTGGCCTTCTTGGTACCCTTCGATTGAAATGGGTGACCTCCAGCTCACCGAGTACTGTAGGTGATAAGTGAACATGATTCACCATGGTTTTGTATTGACACAATAGTCAACTTCTAGCTTGCTGAGTACTATAGGCCGTAAGTGAACATGATCAACTAAGATTCTGCAGAAAGATAGAGGCTGACCTCCGACTTGCTGAGTGTTGTAGGTAGTAAGTGAATATGATCAACCAGGATTCTGTAATAAGGTAATAGCTAACCTCCGGCTCACTATATATTATAGGCAGTAAGTAAATACAATCAACCACAGTTGTGTAATAAGGTAGTAAAGGCTGACCTCTGGCTTACCGAGTATTGTAACAGGTAGTAAGTGAACACTCTCAACTATGGTTCTGTGATGAGGCAATGGCCAACGTCCGGCTTTATGAGCTTTGTAGGCGGTAAACAAACACGATCAACTATCGTTCTCTGATGAAGCAATGGCTAACCTTAGGCTCCCTAAGTGATGTAGTTGGTAAGTGAACACAGCCCACTATGGTTCTGGAACAAGACAACTATTAACCTCTGGCTTGTGAGTCTTGTAGCATATATGAGAACACTGTCAACCATGGTTCTGCAATGATGCAATGGCTGACATCGGGCTCACTGAGTATTGTCGTTTGTAAGTGAACCGACCAACCATGAGACTGGAACAAGGAAATGACTGACCTGTGTCTTGCTTGGTATAGCACACAGTAAGTGAACTCGTCAACTGCGGTTCTGCGATCAGGCAATGGCTGACCTCTGGCTTACTGAGAACTGTAGATAGTAAGTGGACACAATTAGCTCCGTGATATTGCAAGTGTTCTTGCAATTTGTTGACTTTTACTGCAGTCAATTTTTGATCGGTGAGAACTGACGTTGTGACATGACTCTTCAGCCTTTCCATGTTCGGTATAGTCTTACTTAAAATAGAAACTGTGTGCCTGGCTACGAATTTTACAGTTTCCGACCGCCCAAGGGATAAGTGTGTGAAAAAAAACAGAAATTACAGTCAGAACATAACTCAGCTTAGGGCAGGTATCCATTATAAACTGTACTGTGAAAAAGCTCTTAACTTCTTTTATAGTCTTTCTACTGCACTACTGAATTGTTCAAGTTTATCTACAACTATGTAACTGGTAAATATGTACCAATTAGCCTCTACCTTCTGAGCTTCTCAGTGATAATAGGTATTTCTTTATAATTTTTATTCTACTCTTAGTTTTAGTAACAAAATCTACAATATAAAATTAGAGGATAATAATTGAAGTTTATTTATAAGTAGGAAATTACAAATAACTAGATAGAAATAAGAGCATAGAGTTAATTCTTATGTTTACTTTTCTCAATTAATAAATTATTCAAATGTGCACGGTAGAGCACTATCTTAATAACTTTGTACGAAAATATGACATAGTAGAAAGAGTATACTGCAGGCATGCTAAGTGAGGAGGAATTTTGTATGAAGGTAGATTGTAGTAACCCCTATTTATACAGGTACACATCCTTCTCGTAACTCAGAGGAAATGTAAGAGAAAACATAAGTATTGAGGTGTTTGACCATAACATAAGTAGGTAAAACATAAGTGCGAATGTGTTTGACCCTAAAGAACTGCCATGGAAATCCCATAACACATGCATAAATCTGAGGTGGTATGAATAGATAATTAGAACCAAATTGTAAATCAAATGACCGATGACTGTGCATGATGATGTATAAAATGTAAGAAATAAACCTGAACACCAGATAAGAAAAGCAAGTCATAATTCCCTAATCATATCATGAAATACCAAATGAAATATACGTAATACATACTCCACTATAATAATATTCATAGTCTAGAAGAAATACTAAGTAGAGATATATACAATATTATTAAGAAGAATATATATATGAAACACATTAGAAAATTCAACATAAATAAGGCTTCATTTAACATGTACCAATAAAAATATATCACAATAAAAGTTGAAAATGTCATATAAGCCAACAAAAAAATTCATCAGTAAAAAAATTTTATACCTTTGGTAAACATGCTGTAAGTGTGTGAAAAAAAAACAGAAATTGTAGTCATACAACTTAGCTTAGGGCAGGTATTCATGATAACCTGTACTGTAAAAAAGCTTTTAACTTCTTTTATAGTTTTTCTACTGCACTGCAGAATTGTTCAAGTTTATCTACAACTATGTAATTGGTAAACATGTACCAATTAGCCTCTACCTTCTGAGCTTCTCAGTCATTATAGGTATATCTTTATGATTTTCATTCTACTCTTAGTTTTAGTGACAAAATCCACAATATAAAATTAGAGGATAACAATTGAAGTTTATTTACTAACCAGGACATTACAAGTAAC